TACCATAGTTATGCTGCGATAGGAGAAAGATAGCGTGGTAAGGAAGTTCTGTCAACTCTCCAGCGACGTTGAAGCCTTTCAACAAAGTTGAGTTTGACCAACATTATCTTTGCAAGGTAAATTTCAATTCTATTGCAACTACCTTTGACTTGTTCTCAAACTGAGAATCTTCCTTCGTTGGCCTTAACAAAGCCTTGGAAAGCTGCTTGAAAGTGCAAACTGGTCATTTTCCCAACTTCAACGGGAGCAATTCTATCAACTTGCGGTGTAAAAACTGTAATATTTCCTTCAAAGTATAATCTTTGTTCGATTATCCAATCCTAGAATTGGAAAAGTTACAAAGGTCTTGGTTATACCTTACGTAAAGAACTTGAGAGTTTTGACTGTTATAACAGCAAAAGTGGAGATGCTTTTGCTTTTCGTAGCACGTATATTTCACGATTTACCGTTTTTTTTACGTGCAAAGAGGACATGAAATATTCTCTTTCCAAAATTTCTAGAGTTATTCTTTCTTTCGCTAGTAGACGATATTTTCCAATCTATATTATCTTTGAGAGAGCTAAATATTTACCTGAATGTGATGAATCAATAAGATAGACTCTGGTAGTAAAGGAAAAAGACCAATAGTTATATTTTATTTCCCTAAAGAAAGTGTCGTTTTTCTTTTTCCTGGTGCCATTTGGATATGTTCCTCGCCTGTTTACACAAAACGTCGAATTGTCTTTGTCAAGTCCAAAAAAAACTTTACCCGTGTACCAAACAGTTACTAACCAAGCTTCCGTAGTCTAGTAGTTGTTGTACTTTGGGTTATGAAAGTATGAGTTGAATATTCTCACACCGTACTCCAGTTTTTTAGCCTTTTTCTTCACGTAAAGGCAAAAGATTATTAGTGTCAACATATTTCATTTTATCTTGTTCTTAACCAAACAACTCAAAAGGGGGTTTTGAAAGTTTGAAGCAATACTCAAAGTTGGATACGACTTGCAGCGAGTGTGAGTTGTCATTGTAGTTTAAGTATATTCTCAAGTTTGAAATTGACTGGTTTATTGTGAAGTATAGTCTCACAGTGAAACAGATGAATAAATAACATTTAGTAAAGTTACAATAACAGTTTGGAGTTAATGACATATCATACCAAAACCAATCCAATTGTTTAGAGGAAAAAGAATATTCTACCAGAACAATAGGGTGAAATTGCGACTCGAGTCTCTACAATACAGATAGTTGAACTTTGTCTTCTGGGATAGACAAACGGGCAAAAGTACTCGTCCTCTCTTTATAAACTCGTCATATCTCTGTAAGACTCGTTCCTGTTTCTTTCCTAATGATAAATAGGATAAATACATAGATTGGTATTGAAAGTAAACAAGTCACTTTTACGCTTTCGATTCGAACTCCAAATACTGTTAGCATCCAGTCAAACAAACCTCCTACAACCTAAAAGCTTTCGTGAAGACACATTCAATCGCCAAACTTGAATCCTGGCGCATTTTTTCATTGAAACTTGTGAAAAATGAGATGAAAATGAAAAGAATCATTTAATTCATCTTTCCACTTTATTATAAGAGAAATTTTCAACAATAATCTAATATGAACTTTCGGCTTGAAATATTTCTAACAACCCAATGTTATATCTTCAAGTATAACAAACCGCCTCCGTTAAAATAAGAGGGTAGTAACATAGAGTTCCATTCCATTTGCCTACGGAACATCGATAGTTTAGTAAATAGGAGCTTGAATCTGTCATGATACTTTTCCTTTTTACAATGAACTTTTCATGATGCTGTCTTAGTAAAGCAAGATACTCAGATTATCTCTGAAACTCTGCGAATTTTTCATCTTTTAAAGGTTCAATATATTAAAAACCATGCCATGAGATGACTCGAAGAAGATTAACTTCAAAAGCGTGGCGTTGAAAACAGCCAAAGTAAGTCACAAGAGGTCCATGGAGTCTATGTTGAGAGAATTTAACAAACTTGAACTTGGAAGACTCAATCTTCCACTATGAGAGTCTAGAAATAATAGATTATGGAGAGCCAATCTCATGGACACTAAATGTATATTCTCTAATTACCTTTCTTAAAACTTCAACATACTCATCCACGATGAATGAGTCTCATTATAGTTGGAAGCCAAATTCTAACAACATTTCTACAGCATACTTTCCTCTGCAATTCGTAATTTTTACAAGTCCAATATAGTCCTCCCCGTTGGATATGAACACCCTATTTATTTGTCACCCGCATATTTGCAGTTCGAGTTTTCAGATCTATCTCGCCGAGATAATTGATCTTGGGAATATAAAGCCTAATTCTTACATTCACTCATCTAAAATTTGCATATTACAAATGTTCTGCAATAATTCAACC